GTGATCCAAAACCAGTGGCAAGGAGGGTGTAGTAGGCCTGGTAGGGCTTGATTAAGGGCAATGTAACCGAGAGGAATTACTTAAACCCAAATGATAGTGGGATAAGAGGAAAGTAAAAGGAAATACAGGAAGGAACTAGGAGGCAAAGGGCATTTAGAGAGGTCTAAATAAAGGCATGTACAAATGTAGTATATTTATATATGATGATGGGGAAATATATATATGTGCATATATTGATAGGTTTAGTATTAAGGTAGCAGATGGACATTGGGCCTTTACTCAAGTATTCCCTCAGTGCAAGAACACTTTGTTCTATTAAACTGGCATTCCATGATGCTCACCTTCCTGACACGATCGCTAAAAACAAAGTGGGTGCATAGCAAATATGGTGAAGAAAGCTGATGGTGCCCGCCTATCAAAAGATATAGCATCTGTGGTCTTAAAGGCTTGAAGATAAACAAGAGCGTTCGTCTAGCTGTGAAGCAACAAAGTCCACATGAAGAAGCACACCAGCCTGTGAGATCACGAGGTGTTGATAGGATCAGGTAACAGGCATCAAAGACCCAGAACAACAAAAAATTCATATCATTGTGAATGAGGGGGAATGCAGAGTGGAGACCCAAAGCCCATCTGTAGGCAACTGAACATCCCCTTAGAGAAGGGTTGCAGGGAGGAGATGAGCCAGTCAGGATGCAATATAGCACCAATGAAACATACAACGTTCCTCTAGTTCTTTAATGCTTTCTCCCCGCCCCCCCACTATCATGATCCCAATTCTACCTTACAAATCTCGCTAGACCAGAGGATGTACACTGGTACAGATAAGAGCTGGAAACACAGGGAATCCAGAACAGATAAACCCCCCCAGGACCAATAATGAGAGTAGATATAGCAGGAGAGTACGGGTAAGGTGGGGGAGAAAGGAGGAACAGATTACAAGGATCTACATATAACCCCCTCCCTGGGGACAGACAACAGAAAGTGGGTGAAAGGAGACATTGGATCGTGTAAGACATGAAAAAATAAAAATAATTTACAAATTATCAAGGGTTCCTGCGGGAGGAAGAGTGGGGGAGGGAGGGGAAAAAATGAGGAGCTGATGATACCAAGGGCTCAAGTAGAAAGAAAGTGTTTTGAGAATGATGATGGCAACACATGTACAAATGTGCTTGACACAATGGCGGGATGGATAGATTATGATAAGAGTTGTACGAGCCCCCAATAAAATGATTTTAAAAGAAGAAGAAGAAGCCAGAGAGATGAGAATAGACTGGGAAGGAGAGGCCGTAAAAGGAAAATGAGGATAGTATTGTGACCTGAGAGCCTAGCATGGAAAGAGGATAGAGTAATCTATGTCACATGTTCCTAACAGAACAAGTAAGATGGTAATTAAGAATGGTACCCTTTCATGAGTGAGGGAGGGGGGGAAATGAGGAGCTGATACCAAGGGCTCACGTAGAAAGAAAATGATTTGAAAATGATGATGGCAGCATATGTGCAATTGTGCTTGAGTGATGAATGTATGGCTTGTATTAAGAGATGTAAGAGCCCCCAATAAAAGTATTTAATACAAAATTTTTTAAAGAATTTTATCCTTACAAGTTAACCACAAATGCCAATCATAAAATGACTTGAATAGTCCTTTCACTAAAGAAGACATTCAAATGTCCACCCAACACATGAAAAGAGGCTCAGCTTCATTAGCCATCAGAAAGAGGCAAATCCAAATCACAATGAGCTAGCATCACACGCCCACTGGGATGGTTAGGTCTTAAAGAAAGAAAGAAAATGACAAGTGTTGGTGAAAACGTGAAGAAACTGGAACCCTTATCTTGTGCTGGTAGGAAAGAAAAATAGTATAGCCATAGTGGAAAACAGCACGGTGGCTCTTCAGAAAACCTAAAAATACAACTTCCATATGACCCAGATATTTCATTCCTACATATATATCCAAAAGACCTGAAAGTAGAAACTCAAAAAGGGATTTCCACGCCGATTTTCATTGCAACATTACTCACAACTGACAAAAGATAGAAGCAACCTAAATACCTACCAAACAGATGAATGGATAAAGAAATTGTTGTACATACCTAAAATGGAATACTGCCCAGTCAGTGAATGAAATGAAATCCCTATACTTACTTCAGTATGGATGGAGTTTAAAGATATTATGTTGAGCGAAATAAGCCTGTCACAAAAGGACAAACAGTACAAGAACTCGTTTATATAAAAAGACAGAAAAGTCAAATGTATAGAGATCAAAGTATTAGTTGTTCCAGGAGTGAAAGGGGGAGCAATAAGGAGAGTTAACAGTGATAGAAAAAATCACACTGATTAAGGATAAGGTTGCACAGGTGATTTTTACAATTGCTGTAAATACACTGTGAGATACTGAATTGGTGGAAGTTGTATGATAGACAAATTGATTGCAATTAAAAAATAAGGAGTAACTGCTGTGCTATCAAGTCCCTATGGGACTTAGTTCTTTGGTTTGGAGGTTTCGGGTCATGTTTTCAGGGCATAACCCAGTTAATTGGCCTAATAATGTGTTTAATGTTTGTGTTGTAAATCCTGGCTTTTTCAATAGTATCTGGGATCCTAAAAGCTTGCAAAGGGCCAAGGAACAACAACTGGTTTCTATTCCTCCCTGTTCACCAAGGGAGAAGGAGAGTCACGTGTGACCAATTACTTCCATGAGCAACTACCTTTAAGGTGACCAGATTTTAACATTGGTAAAGCGGGACACCATTGATAAAACTCATATCCCGGCGAAATAGCCACATGGCAGCTGAAAACCGTATACCCTAGCTTGTCGTGCATTCTTTCCAAAAATCAGGATTTTTAAAAAATGCCGTGGGATGCAGGGAAAATTGTTAAAAATTGGGACTGTCCCGCCAAAAGTGGGATGTCAGGTCACCTTAATTAGCCATAAGACCAGAAAACAGGGTCCAGCTACTATTACTGAACATTCTGATCAAAGATTTCATAAAATAATTCTGATCAAGATGGGGAAAATGTAGAAGAGAATATAAAATTGTTATGACTTTCTGGAGTCATGGAGGGTAAATGAAACCCTAAAATGTATTGCCCTGAGATAATCTTTAAATCTTAAGAGCCAAAAACATATTGCCTGAAGTCTTTTTAAAACCAAACTCATAAAAAAAAGCCCTGCTTGAGCATTATGATCTTTTAAGAAGTAATATGAAATCAAGTTGACAGCGGCAACTCTAGGGATGGCATAGGAAATAGGAAGCGTGGGGGGCAGTGAATTTACGTTAATGCGGTTGGAACAACTCAGAGGAGGAGGAAGGGGAGACTGCCTAATGATTACATTCCAAAGAAGTGTCGCTGAATTGTACTTGTAGAAACTTTTGAATCAGTGTATGTTTTGTTGAAAACAATAAAACTTTTAGAAAATTAGATTCCTAAAACTTAATTGGATTTAACTGTGTAGACCTCTAGAGACCTTAATCTGAGAAATGTTGCTGATGTGGTCAGGGTAAAAGCCTGATTAGCATAGTATCAACAGAGAATAAGAGATGAGAAATTGTGGGCAAGTCTTTCAAGAGTTTTTCTTTAAAAGGAAGTTTTTCTGTAAAGTATAGTGACAAAGGGGGCGAGGTGAAGACATTGTCATTTTTAGGATGGGAGCGCTAATGTCAAGTATGTGTGCTGGGAGAAACACTAAGCAAAGCGAGACAGGACAAGAAGGAAAATTGCCAGAGTGGTTCCTTGAGCCATGGCTGGTGGACAGGAGAGGGGATGGTATCTAGCATGTAAAAGAAAAGATCCTTCTCAGCTGGGAGTAAGGCATGGTTATCTAAAGTGACAAAAGAAATAAGATGGAATCCAGGAACAGGAATGGGAGTAGCATACAGGAGGTTATGGGGAAGAGGGGGACAGGAGGGGAGGAAGTAGGAATACCACCAGCATCCCCACCACCCCAGGGGCACAAACAACAGAAGCCATGGGGGAAGGGAGACAGCGGTCATTCTACGATATGTAAACAGTAATGATTTTTTTTTTCGTTTTTAAAAAATAATTTATAATTTATGAAGGGGGCACGAGAGGGCAGGGAGGGAAGAAACAGGAGATGATCCCAAGGGCTCAAATAGAATGTAAATATTTAGAAAATGATGACGGCAACATCTGTACAAATATGCTTGATACAATTGATGTATGGATTGTTCTAAGAGCTGTAAGAGCCCCCAATAAAATGGCCTTTCAATAAAAATAAATAAGTAAAAAGGAAATCAGAGCACAGAGGTAGGAGCAGGTAAATATGCCGATATGGGGTGAGAGTTTGTGCGAGTTCTCTTCTGATTATGTCCATTTCTCACTGAAGTAAGAAGCTGGGTCCATAAACAAATAGAGAGGGGAAAGTATTGGAAATTTGAGGAAGGAGAGAGAAATTTACTTCAAGGAAATAGTTCACACAATTGTAAGAGAATGGCTCACAATAGTGGGAGCTGGCAAGTCCCAAATCCATGAATCGGATATCAGGCTAAATCCCCTGCTGGCTCATGGGATTGCAGAGGTTGATGAACCCAGAATCTGCAGGGCCAGTGGCAGGCTGGAGGACTTGGCTGACTGCATAGCAGTTGTCCAAAAAGAAATTAGATGGCATCCAGGAACAGGAATGGGAGCATTAGATGGATACCAGGAGGATAGGGGGAAGAAAGGGAGAGGAGGGGAGGAAGTGGGAACCACCAGCATCCAAAGTCCCAAACAGGCAGGCCAGAGACTTCTGCAAATTTATGTCCCAGGAAGCACAAGTCAGGCCATGAGATGCATCGAGAAAAAGAGCAAACTTTGCCAGAAGACCCAGGCATGTACCGGAGGCCATCCACAACCTCCCAAGATCCCAAATCTTGTTTTCTTAACCACTGCTTTCTAACTGGTATCTCTACCCTCAATAGTCTGCCTTTCAGTAGTCTTCCTTTATCACAAGAAACCTTTTGATAATCAGAGATCTGACTAAGTCACTCTGCTGCCTCAGCATGGCTCAAGCGTCCACAGCGATGGTTTTTAAGTGTTCCGCGGAGTTCCAGGATTTAGTTGACTGGGGAGCACGAGAAAGACTGAATGAGGTGAGTCTTGGGCCTTCCACCTGGCTTCACCTCTTCTTTGTGTAGGGGAGAGAGCGTTGGTAGTTCAGTGGCAAAACTCTTGCCTTCCAGGGTTCAGTGCTTGGCCAATGTCCTTCAGGCACAACCACCACCTGCTTGTTAGGGAAGGCATGAATGTCGCTACGATGCTGAACAAGTGTCAGCGGCGCCTACAGGCTAAGGTGCAATAGGGGGGAAGAAGAAAAAAAACAATGCTGGCGATCTACTTCCAAAACTCAGCCATTGAAAGCCAGCTGGTTCACAATGGTCAGCTCCATGAGTTCCCATGACGATGGCCAGGAAGGAGTGGGTCGTGTTCCGTTCCCTGTGCCTGGAGTCCCCTGGGTCAGAGGCCAGCTCTACCACAACTGACAGCAACATCAATGTTTCAACGTTTCACACTTCTCTATGAAAGATTCTCTTTGTTTAAAAAAGAAAAAAAAGGATTCACACGGCTCTATCAGTGAGGGACCAATTAAGAGAGAAGCCATATGGAAATTTGAACAAGGAAAGTATTCACTAGGGCAAGGGATTGTGTGGGGAGAAGTCTCGGGTGCTCAAGAGGAGACAGGAGCCTCAGAGCAGCCAGGCCTGTGGAGGGAGCTAAGATACAGCACTCAAGGCAGGGAGGGTTCCATGGACCAGAGCTGAGAGCCAGACCTTGCGGTAGGGGGTCCAGCTGTGACTCACTGCATGGCAGAGCAGTCGCTGTGAGTCATGTGGAGAGAACTCACTCAAAGTCTGCCCTCTGGAATTTACCAGAAATCTGTCTTCTCGGATGCCAGGGAAAGCCGCTAAACTGGTTCATTCCACCACCGGAGAACTGCTGCTGACTCCTCGGGGCTGCAGAAGCCGTCATGCCGAGAGCACAAGACACGGTGCTGTGGGAGGATGTTTGGTGTCAGACGGTGATAAAGAAGGATGGAAGGTGGAGGCATGTCTGACCTCTGCCTGGTGGTCCTGGGTCAGTGAGGAAGGAGCCTGCAAGCAGCCACGTGGGAACCTGCAAGCCAAGCTCTTTCCAAAGCCTACTGACATAGCTTCCCATCGCGTCAGCCCGCGAAGGAAAAGCATCTTTAAAGGGGTCTTCTTGTAGCTATCTTCATATTTTTCTTTGGTTTGTCACGTTTTTAAAAACCCAAACCAAACCCATTACTGTGGAGTCAATGCTGTCTCATAGCAACCATCCATCGGGCTTCCGAGTAGAGAGCCTCATCTTTCTCTAGAGGACGGGCCCTGCTGGCCCTGTGGGTGTCGAAATGCCAACCTCCAGGTGCAAACACGCCAGCCACTCCCTAGGAGAAAGATGCGGCTCAGTGCTCCTGTGAAGATGCACAGCCATAGAAGCCCTAGATAGGGTCACCATGCACTGGAATGCAGCGGGAAGATGGGCTTTCTGTTCCCTAAAAAGTTACAGTCTTGCAACAGAAAGTGGGTCAAGGGAGACCTCGGACAGTGTAAGATATGACAAAAGAATAATTTATAAAGTATCAAGGGCTCGTGAGGGAAGAGGGGAGCGGGGAGGGAGGGGGAAAATGAGGAGCTGATGCCAGGAGCTTCAGTGGAGAGCAAATGTTTTGAGAATGATGAGGGCAATGAATGTACAAATGCGCTTTACACAACTGATGTATGTATGGATTGTGATAGGAGTTGTATGAGCCCCTAATAAAATGATTTAAAAAAAAAAAGGTACAGCCTCGGAAACCCACAGGGGCAGTTCTACCCTGTGCTATAGGGTCCCTAAGAGGCAGAATCAAGTTGAGGGCAGTGAGTGAATGGTGACTTTGAATTGACTTGGCAGCAGGGAGTTTGATTGTATTTTTTCTCCCACTCAGCTGTGGGTGACTAACTCACCAACCTTTCAGTGAGCAGCATGGTATTTACCCTACTTCCCCACCAGGGCGTCTTGGGATCACATAGGCCATGGTATTTGTTCTAATTGTTCCGGTAGTTTGAAATGCACTCCCACCTTTTAATTAGGAAAGCCCTTCAAATATCCTGACCCCATCTTCTGAGAGGAGGCTGGTTCAGCCAGTCTCCTCTGAGATTCCCCTGAGAAAATCTGAGAAGATCCTTCAAGTCATTAATAGCTGCTCCTAACTCCCCCTAAAATTGAGGGGAGGGAGAAAAGTGTCAGTAAACAGCGAGCTTGGGAGAGACGACTATAGAAGATCAAAGGTATAAATCTGACCTGAACAGATCTGCCCGTCAAGCCTCCCTGTGATGCGGGCTGGACCTGATCTGGTTTCCAACATTTTCTGTGGTTTTTCGTTTGTATTGTTTTCTTTGGTTTTTGTCTGTTCATGTTAGAGTGTGTCTCAGAGGTGTTATGTCCAGGGAGGTCGCCCTCTTGAAGTTGTGTCATTTTTGGTATATGAAACTTAAGATTGATGAACCTAGAGCAGCGGTTCTCAACCTGTGGGTCGTGACCCCTTTGGGGTCTAAACGACCCTTTCACAGGGGTTGCCTAAGGCCATCAGAAAACACATATTTCCCATGGTTTTAGAGACACCTCTCCTCTATCCGTCTCCAGGCAGGTCCGCCCACATACAGATACGCCCACATACGAGTACCTGGTATGAAGACTGTTACCCATGCTACACCATGCTTCAAGACATTTCATTTATTTGTAATTAGAAATAAATATTCCACAATATATAATTACATATTGTTTTGTGATGAATCACTGTGCTTTAAAAATGTTCAATTTGTAACAATGAAAATACATCCTGCATATCGTTCATCCACAAAGCCAACATCTTTTTAGACATTAGACGTAGATGAATCTTCTGCAGGCCACTGGACATCCTGTTACAGAAGGGTCGCAGGGAGGAGATGAGCCAGTCAGGGTACAGTGTAGCAATGATGAAATATGCAACTTTCCTCTACTTCCTAAATGCTTCCTCCCCCCAACCCCCCACTATCATGATCCCAATTCTGCTTTACAAATCTGGCTAGACCAGAGGATGTACACTGGTACAGATAGGAACAGGAAACATGGGGAATCCAAGACAGATGATCCCTTCAGGACCCGTAGCGAGAGTGATGATACCGGGAGGTGGAGAGAGGGTGGGGTAGAAAGGGGGAACAGATTACAGGGATCTACATATAACCTCCTCCCTGGGGCACAGACAACCGAAAAGAAGGTGAAGGGAGATGTCAGACAGTATAAAATGACAAAACAATAATTTATAAATTATCAAGGGTTCATGAGGGAATAGGGAGCAGGGAGGGAGGGGAAAATGAGGAGCTGATGTCAGGGGCTTAAGTGGAGAGCAAATGTTTTGAGAATGATGAGGGTAATGAATGTACAAATGTGCCTTATATAATTGATGTTTGTATGGATTGTGATAACAGTTGTATGAGCCCCTAATAAAATGATTTTTTTTAAAAGAAGTAGATGAGTCTACACAAGGACCAGCATTGTATGTCAAAGTTTACAATGTCGATATGAATATGAATTGGAATAAAACCTGGCAGACAACGTCAGATTGAATCCCCATGATCATTTGAATGATGCTAGAGTGACATCCCTATTCTTCACTTGAATGATTTTTTCTAAAAGTAGAATAACAATATGAGCGCGCTTTCAAAAGTTCATGGCAAATGGAACCTTTTGAAGCCCCCTCATATGTGTTTCATCTGTGTGAACAATGTCTTTACAAAAAAAAACAAATGGATTTTTCTGTTGTTGTTGTTGTTGTTTTCCTATCTTTTTAAGTTTCTTGACTGCTGCTGTCATAGCCATTGTTTGTGGATCCAAGTAAAACAAAGCCCAGTCAACAATTCTAATCTTCTGTCGACCATGATGTTGCTGATCAATTCCAAGGGTCTTTCTTTTCTTTATGGTGAGGTATAATTCACATTGAAAGCTGTAGTCTCTGATCTTCAAGTCTTGTTCACTTTGGCAAGCAAAGCTGTCTTTTGTTAACAAATCTTCCTCCAATCCTGATGTCCTATTCTGTCTTAACGTCCAGCTTCTCTGATTATTCAATCAAACCCTGAAACACACCTTTCCTGATCTCACACCACACCGTATCCCCTTGTTCTGTTCCAGGTGTACAGATACCTCTGGAGCACAGTTAAATGTTCTGGAATTTCCCTCCAATCCTGATGTCCTATTCTGTCTTAACGTCCAGCTTCTCTGATTATTCAATCAAACCCTGAAACACACCTTTCCTGATCTCACACCACACCGTATCCCCTTGTTCTGTTCCAGGTGTACAGATACCTCTGGAGCACAGTTAAATGTTCTGGAATTTCCACCCTTCATCATGCTATTCAGGACTTGTGATGATCCACGGAGTCAAAAGCTTTTGCATACTCAATAAAATATTGGTAAATATTTTTCAGCCAAGGTCTATCTGACATCAGCAGTATCTCTTGTTCCACATTCTCTTTTGAATCCAGCATGAATTTCTTTTCTGGCAGTTTTCCTGCAGTCCGTGTAGTGTTGCAATCATTATGAATTACCTTTAGCAATATTTTACTTGTGTGTGATATTAATGATCTTGCCCAATGGTGTATACATTCTGTTGGCTCATCTTTCTCTAGGATGGACACAAATAATAGATCTCTTCCACTCAATTGGCCAGGTAGCTTTCTTTCAAATTTCTTAGCATAGATGAGTGAGCACACATTTGTGGAAATATTTCCATTGGTATTCCATTTATTCCTGGAATCATGTTTTTTACTAATGCCTTCAGAGCAGCTTGGACTCCCTCCTTCAGTACTATCAGTTCTTGATTATATGGTACCTACTGAAATGAAATGGTTGAACATCTACCAATTCAATATGCTTACCTGAGTAAGGTTTATAAAAACAAAACAAAAACCCATACATAGTTCATTCCAATTCACAGAAACTCTCAAACCCCTATTGATTTAGGGCATGATGGAAATGGCCGAGTTAGGTCTGTTCTTTCTCATATATAAAGCCCGTCTTCTCATGGAAGTGCCAATCAACAGCTTAAACTACCCTT